ATCAGTCACCCCTCAAGCCAAATTTTTTCATGGTATGATGATCCAGATCCTTGGGGTTAAAGCTTCATCTTAGCCTCTTTGCCTAAAAAAAAGTTAATGTTGCAGTCAAGAGCAAGAGAGAGGGTAAATTAATATTTTCTTGCACTTCAAATTTTTCCCTTAAGCAGTTGACTCCATGCACCTGATTTGGCCGTAATTTGGTATCGTGCTTGGAGATCCTATCATGAATGGGTAAAAAGTAAAAGTAAAGATTTTCTGACATTTGTATATGCAGGCAGAAGAAATGTAATTCTTAAATTGATATTAATTTTCTAACATGTTTGTCATATATGCAGGCATAAGAAGTTAAATTTATGTTCATTTGCACTTTGTAACCTTTTTTGAATCTGCTCAGTCAAAAATGAGCCATGAGCAATATCCATGTGCCAGGCTGACAAAAATTGCAACATTATGTCCACTTCCAAAAAACATCTGTGTATTAATTAATTGAAGTCAATATAATATATGTCCTCTTTTTCAGGGGGAAGTATATTCACTACATATGTATATGAATTGCATTGGCTTGTTCCACATGTTATTAATCTCTTGTGTGCCAAACTGTCTTTTTATGGTGCTATACTTTTTAGAATTGGTAAACTTTTTGGTAGTGTTTCATACAGGCTCTACTCTTCTGTGGTCAGTTACAGCACAGTGATGTTAACCATTTGCTACAAAACAGTTAATGAAAAAAATTACTAAAGTGCATCATTTGAAGATTAGGTTTGCTTATATTTAATACGTTATCTGCATTGCAATGTAATTAATTAGACTGAGGTAAGATCAAGATCATGTACTTTTAAACAGAATAGAAGCATGTAAAGTAGATCCAGCTGTGATGCAGTTTCCCATATTATGAGTTGATGTTAACAGCTCTATTTGTCATTTCGTTACAGTAGAATCCAGGCCATTTTCTGTCATTACCAATAGTTAACCTAGCTACTGAAAGAGGTCTGTTTACATTGGTTTACTTTGGTCTGCTAGTCACAAGACAAGTTGTTTTTTCAGTGTTGTAATTGTATTTTCTTGCCATTCAAATAAAAACTTCATATGGTTGCTTAAAAAAAAAATTCACAAAGGTAGAAGTCATCAGAACCAGTTTATTGCCAACTGACATTCACCTACTTTTAAATTGGAGAAATTAAGAAATAGCCGATACCTTGGACACAGCTGGGGAAAAAATCGGTGAGATGAGTCATTGTTGATAGTGTTACCAGCCTCACTATAATGGATTGGCAGTAGTATGATTTTCAGTGGTTATTGCACATCATTAGTGCAATAAAGAGTCATTTATGGGAAAATTATGGATGGTTGCTTGCTTACCATTGAAGACATCTTTTTGTGTTGAGAAGATAAAGGAAATTTGCTACTTTTTGGCAGCCCAGCTAAGCTGCTTTATCAGCAGTGTAATGCCACTTTACTGCTGTTAATACAATTTGTCCACACATTCCTCGAGGTCAGCAGATCTTTATTACCACATTGAGTGGCCTGGCAGTCTTGTATGTGTAATTCAGCAGCCATGGATGTACTGACTTTAGGTTGACTGTCATAGGCTCTCCAGTGGAATGTCAGTTTTAAGTAAACGTATTGTGTATGGATCTCCGTGGTGATTAAAGAAATCTTCTTTTTCATAAGTGCTGTACCTGCACTAGTGGAACCTTTCACAATTGGTAATTCACTTTTTGATAGCATTTAATATACAAGTATCCCTTTCTCTAATTAGGAATTGAACTAGATGACAGAATAAGATATGAAATATGAAACATGCAAAAAGAAATGTGTAAATAATTTTAAGAAAGTATACTTTTATCTTCCATGCTTTTTTTTTTTGTTGTTGTTGCCAAATGATTCCATATCTGTATAGTATTTCATGAGATCCTGTATGCATAGCTTAATATAAAAACTGGTTTCATAATGCTATAGATAAATCTTTTACAGACTTTCATTCTGATACCTTAGGGAAATATTTACATATTTATCTGCAAATGGATACTAGTTGAAACAAAATTTGAATGAAAACATACCAACTCTAAAACACACCCACACACACACACTCTCCTCTTCTCTCTCCTCTCTCCTCTCTCTACTCCACTCTCCTCTCTCCACTCCACTCTCCTCTCTCCACTTCCACTCTCACTCTCTCCTCTCTCCCTCTCCTCTCTCCTCTCTCTCTCTCCTCTCACTCCACTCTCCTCTCTCCACTCTCCACTCTCCTCTCTCCACTCCACTCCTCTCTCTCTCTCCTCTCTCCTCTCTCCTCCTCTCTCCTCCTCTCACTCTCACTCTCCCTCTCTCTCTCTCCACTCTCCACTCTCCACTCTCACTCTCCACTCACTCTCCCTCTCTCCTCTCTCCTCTCTCTCTCCTCCTCTCCTCTCCCTCTCTCCTCTCTCCTCTCTCCTCTCTCCTCTCTCTCCTCTCTCCTCTCTCCTCTCTCCTCTCTCTCTCTCTCTCTCTCCTCTCTCTCTCTCTCTCTCTCTCTCTCTCTCTCTCTCTCTCTCTCTCTCTCTCTCTCTCTCTCTCTCTCTCTCCTCTCTCTCTCTCTCACTCACTCACTCCTCTCACTCACTCACTCACTCACTCACTCACTCTCTCTCTCTCTTCTCTCTCTCTCTCTCCTCTCTCTCTCTTCTCTCTCTCCTCTCTCTCTCCTCTCTCTCTCTCTCTCTCTCTCTCTTCTCTCTCTCTCTCTCTCTCTCTCTCTCAAGCAAAAAAATGTTAAGTTAGAGCCTCATTCTATTACATAATGAGTATTCACATTTGTGAATCCATTTATTAGAAATCATATCTGGTGATTGTTATAGGTCACGGGATCGTTCAAGTACGAAGAGAAGGAGAGGGTCACGCCGGTCTCGCTCCCGTTCTCGCTCCAGGTCGAGGTAACCCAGGTTGAAAGGATCACAAGTTTCTTTTTAGGTGATGGAGGTGCAAGATCATATTCTCTCTTCTGTAAACTTTATGGCCAGTATTATTTTATGATTGCAAGTAAGATATTTCAAAATTGTCTTTACTTTTTTTTTCTTTCTCTCCATTGTACATTGCTATTCATATGTTGATCAGAATATTCCCAGTCTCCACCACCTACATTCCATTGCTATGAATTTGATCAAATCATAGTTATTCAAGCTTTTCATTGTTAAAATATGAGTGGTCTTGCATGAATGAATCAGTGAGCTTGTGAAGTTGTGACGGTTTACATGAAAAGCATATGGTTAACCATATGCAAGTTATGCATTTACACTCACTCACTTGCCCACACACACATCTCTGTGCCCCCCCCCCCAACACCACACACACATACACATTCTCTCTTTCTCACATCCATACACACACACACACACACACACACACACACACACACACACACACACACACACACACACACACACACACACACACACATCACACACACACACACACACACACACACACACACACACATATATATATATGTATATATATATCACATGCACATGCACATTCTCTTTTTTCCACATTTATACACACACACATACACCTAACTCACTCACTCACTCACTCACTCACTCACTCACTCACTCACACTCACTCACTCACTCACTCACTCACTCACTCACACTCACACACACACACACACACACACACACACACACACACACACACACACACACACACACACACACACACACACATTATGGACATGCACATTCTCTTTTTTCACATGTATACACACATACACACCAACTCACTCACTCACTCACTCATATTCTCACTCTCTCACACACTTAGGTATACTGACATGTACGTGCACACATGTGTATACCTACATATAAAAATGCACCCACACAGGCACACTTCAGAATGAACACAGACTTTTGCAGAAATGCTTACACAGTCACCTAAGATATGTATTGAATTTGTTAAAATGATTTTATTTTTTTATAGGAATATTGTGTTTAATTATTTTAAGGTCAAAGAAATTATTTTTTCTACCACATGCTATTTCCATAAATACCATAATAGGTCTGTCTTCATGTTTTTAGAAATGAATATATGTATTACAGTAGAGAGAGAATTAAACCTCTACATAATTATGAAGTTGCATATGCTTTAAATCATTTTTGAAATTGTATTAAGAAAGTGTTGCAGTGAACACCAAATTCAAATTAATTGATTGGGAATGCAAGAAAGGCTTGACATCTTATTTTTATTTCTCTGTTCATTGATTACTATAATGGGCTTTTTCCTTTTATAGTTTTTAGAAATGGTGGAACCACCAAAGGAATATCTGTGTAAATATATTTTCCCTTTGTCTCTTTTGTATCATTTCAGGTGTAAGAAGCTGAAAGCCATTGCAACAGGGAAAGAACTTCCTTGCTTTGAAATTAATAAGTGTTTATGTTCTGGAAATGTTTTTTCTTTCAGATCCTATTCCAGGGACCGCAAGCATACAAGGAAGTAGGAACGAACCATTGCCGGAGATAATGTATAAAGATGGCTTCATTCATGCTCATGCCAGGCCAAAGCTTGCTGCCCTAAATGCTTTCATTATGCAAGTGCATAGTAGAAGTAAGACACATGCTTACTTGAGAAACAATATTTTATCTGAACTTACTCCCGATGCTGAGTGTTCCCAATAGTAAGTATGATTATGAGTATTTTTTTTTCCCTCTCTCTCTATTATTATTATTATTATTATTATTGTTATTATTATTATTGTTATTATTATTATTATTATTATTATTATTATTATTATTATTATTGTTGTTGTTGTTGTTCTTTATTTTATTTTTGTTTATTTATTACAGTTATTGATGGAGTATCTTATTTTATTTTTTTTATTTTTGGTATTCTGTGAACTTGAAGTTGAGTTTAAGATACTTTGAAATGACTGAAGCATTAATGTGTTCTACTATGATTTTATTATTATTATTATTATTATTGTTGTAATAATCATATGAAAGAAGATTAACAACTCTCCTGGGACTGAAGATAGCTTTGGACATCATGGGAAAAATATTAATACACATAGAGTTGTCGTTTGAAGTACCTTACCAGCCAACTTCAGTGCATTGTTTTCTGCATTTTGTTTCTCAGATTTGTTTTTAATGCTAACATGAAAGTTAGAATTTGAAAATGAGCTCAAAGTCAGCTCTCTATAATAAACAGCAAATATACAAAAGGTAAAGATAAAATTTAATTGTTCATGTCAGAGAGAAACAAGAGAGTAAGCTCTGTGAAGGGGTTGACAAAATATTTTTCAAACCAAAAAGTATTGGTGCAAATCAGTCCTGTATGTTCAAATGAGTCAGCTATCAGTTGAATATTGTATTGGAATTACTGAAATGTAAGACCTCAGAAAAGAGAGTGAATCAGATTTGCACAGATACAAAGTTGACTCTTGCATTGCTTGTTGTGGGGAGGGAGGGATATTAACACACACAGTGGCACACAAAAAGACATCTGACATGGACAGAATGAGAGGCATAGGCACAGAAAGTAGGAGTTAACAGTAAATCCAGAGAAGCATACATCTAAATATGCTCATTTTATATAAAGAAGAAAACAGCAACAATAGAAAGATGTATGTTTGTTTGAAACATTTCCCAATTTTTGTGACAGATAGTATGAACATAGATTTGGAAATATATCTCATATTTGCTGTGTGCAGATCTGGATTGTTTTCAATTGGTTACTTTTGATTTCAATCCATGTTGCCCCAAGGGAACAGCAAGCAGGTTTTCTTTATTAGTATGTAAGAGATGTGTCTACATGTAAGAGGTAGTCACAGTGAAGTCAGTTTATTATGTGAAAAGTTTTTGAGCATTGGAATATGGCATTATATTTAACTTGTCAAATAGATTTGGGAGCACAGACTTCTGAATTTGTAAGGTAGAATATTAAAATTAGCATTTCTTGTAATTTTGTTGTCTTTTGTGCGACAGTCAGTGTACATGGTAAACTTGTCATTGCTTTTTTCTATACATATATATATATATATAATCTGTGTGCATAATGTACAGTGATATTGGACCTTCCAGTGGCCTTTGCTTTGAGTAAGATTGTATTGAGATCATTTTCCTTTTTGTTATAGTACATTTAAGCTGACTTCTTTATCAAAATTCTTTGACATAATAGATTCAAGTTGTTTTATTATTTGTTTAGAGTTTGATGTTGACTTCCCCTGTTATAGCCAGTGAATATCTACATTGAGATGTAAATGATTACATTTGAGAACGTTCATTAAAGTTTGATGGTGGAAGTATGCATATTGTGGTAGCATATTGTTGGTATTAACTTATGCTCATGATTTTGGAAAAACTTATATTGATTTTTTTAAGCATTATGTTTGTATTGTAAATCTAGGAAGCAGATTGTAATATTTCCCTTATATATAGATAAGACAAAAAGTTACCATAATTAAAGGTAAATTATACTTAAAATTACATCTCATTTTTAAAGGTATGAATGTGAATTGTTGTCCACTATAAGTTGGCTCCTCTTTCGTTGAGTGATCATGCCAGTTTTTTGGTTCTACCGATATTTGTTTAGTATTGATTTTTTGTATTATGTACATATCAGGATGGATGATCATAAACTTTGCCAACCCTTGCAGTTCAAGTATGCAAAATAGACAATTGTGCTTTGGGTTACAAGTGAAATAGAGATACTGTCAATAACCAAATCCCAGAAATGTGATTTAGCTTGTAGAAAATGAGTGGTTTCACAAGTGTTCATAACTGTAAATTGTTAGAAATAAACCTCTCAAAGAGTTGGAAGTATTTGTCCCTAAAATAGACAGTTTTTTATTTTTGTGTCTCTTGTTATTAGAATACTTTTGGAGACCTCTGTTGTAAGGGTATACTGTAATAACATATCATATGTGTAAAAGACTAAGCTTGACACCCATACTGAATGATAACACCTGAAACATGCTGTTACTACTGCCTTTAGACTTGACCCATTATGTTGCTTTATGATTTGAGTGAAAGTAAATTTGTGATATTGCTAATGATTTATGATGACATGTAGTCAAAAGAACATACATATTGCACATGCATTGCATATTACAAATAACCTGATAGGGGGCGGTGATATTTGCATGAGAATTCATTTAATGTCCTTGTTTCTTGTAACTTGGGAAATGCTTTCACATAGATTCAAAGTTGGAAAAGCTCATTTCGAGTTGTATCTTTTGTGGGAAATAGCCTGAGTATTCTAAATTTCCTGTACTCCAAAAGATTTATTTTGTCTTTCAAAGAGTCCCCATATTTGCTACATGCAATGTTTCCCATCATAAGTCCCTTACACATTCTTAATTTTTTTGGTCCTCTTGTCTATATTTGTTTAATAGTGTTACATTTCTTACATTGAATGTAGAAGTTGCACAATTGAAGCATGTTTTGTACACATCTCAGTGCTTATATTCAGCAGTATATCCAAACAAATGCATTTGTAAGTTTCTAAATGTCCTTTAGTGGAGTTCGTAAGCTGTAAGTAAAGTCATCATGAGGTAAGATGGCCATGAAGCAGTTGTATACGGTGGGCAGAACTTGCAAAATATGTCATTTTATATGCATAGATATGTATTGCTGAATAAGATTTGTAGTTGAAATGTAAAGTTAATACAATGTGTTCTGTGGAAATATTCTCTCATTATAACCATATATACTTCAAATTATTTCATGAAAGCTGATAATGAGGAGTTATTACACGTCCTATGATTGTAGCAGTTTGACATTAGACTTGGAATTGGCTCTGTGCTGGACTTACTGTAACACAAGAAGTGTTCCCTTTTATTCACGAATTTGGAATAAATTAAGTGGTAATAAAGAGAAAGCAGTATATTAGAAAATAGAAAAGAAAAAAACGAAGGTCAGTATTCACAGTAGGTCTATGACTGTGATTTTGTCTCTGATTTGCCCTCGTGCCACATCTCAAAGTTGATGCTGGTAATAGAACAAACATCTGAATAGTTAGAGACCTTATTTTGATAATCTGTTGTAATAAAACAAGGTAAATATAACAATAAATCTTTCCTGTGTCATAACGGTAATTTTACACTTTTAGTATATCTGAATGCGATATGGCATCCCTACGTTTATTTTCATTCAGTCAGATGTTAAGGTGGGTGCTGCCATTTGTATTTAGTTTTTTTGATATAGCAATTAAGATGTAGCTGACCGCTTAATTAATTTGACGAGTCATCAAAGGTAGCCTAGGACTCTTTGTTTTTATTTTCCAAAGCTGAATAATCTTCAACCGAGACTCCCCACCCCCAATCCCTTGCTCTTGGGGGGCTTACGAGGACTGCGACCCAATGCTAGGGAACTCCCCTACCTTGGGCCTCAGCCCTTGACTCAACTAATTTTTCATGGTCTTTTCTCCCTCCTGCTCTTTTGTTTCCGTCCCTTCTCCACCCATTTCTACAATCCACTTCCTAAGGTGTAAGAGCTGTGGTGAAAGGATGAATGGCTGACTTTGTGCCAGTCCTGAACGGCCTAAGGGAACCATGGGCACGGTATTCCGGTTTTAGTTATCTAGCCCTTACCCCTCAAGGGGACCCTGATGGCTGGACTGTTTCTTTCTCCAGCATAGTCAAGGCTTCCCATGGCCAGTAATGAAGATGTAACACCCTTATTAGGGTCACTGAGGCTTGCTCTTTCATCAAATAGCCCCACCAATTCAAACTCTCCTGGTTCCCCGACCCCAAGGCTCTCCTTTGACCACAACTCTGAACACTGCAACTACTACCTTATTTAACCCTTAATACTTGTACAGGAAAACTCTCTATATCCCCAGCAAACTGCCCTATTGATACCAAAGATTGGTCAGATTGTGGTAAAGACTTATTCGCCTGCCTCAAGGACCGTGATGTGATATCAGTACAGTGCTACTCCATTCCTCCTAGAGGTCATCGTAAGATTCCCACAAACATAGTCAGAATTACTTTCCGTACAAATTAATTCCCATTAATATCTACATTGGTGGAGAATCCTTCCCTGTCCGACCATACCAACCATACAAAACTGTTGGCGCTTAGGACATCCTGCCAAATACTGCCGTTCCATAGCCCGATATCCCCTATGTGCCCAACTTGGGCACAACCGATCAAACTGTTCTGCACAATCACGTACATGTGCTAAGAGTGGCGGCATCCATAATGTATTTTATAGAGGCTGTCTCACCTACAAGTTTGAATCTGAGGTGGCAACTCTCAGATACAAACTTGGTCTCCGTGAAGCCAGACAGAAGCACGTCGACAAGGTTTCTCTCATACTCCCTACTCCAGTAATGTCACTCGCTCAACCCCTTCCACCCCTTCGCAAGATGTTCATACACCCTCCCCTGTACCTATTTCCCAATTCCACTTCTACCTCTACCTCCTGCTTTGTTTTTACACATCCCAATGTAATGTCCCTCTTTCAGTTCCACACATTCTGTTGTCCTGTCCACGCTTTGATACAACTCGCACCTCTGCTTTCCCCCCCACCTGTCCTCCCTTCACCGACCTCCCAACCTATCAGACATCCTTACAGAATCCCACTACTTTCTGCTTTGACCTGTTCTCCTTCCTCAGACGCATACATGTCCTTCACTTGATCAAATCCCTTACTAAACCCACACCCCATGCTCGTTTCCACCATTTCCTTTCCAAACTATTCCTCAGTCTCTTCTCCAGGTTTACCTACTCCTATCTCAATTCACTACATTCTCCCTTCTCCCATCTCCGACACCTTTCCTTAGGGGGCTTAGGAGACGGAGACAAACTCAATATAGAGGACCTTTAACTTCCCCTCTTATTTCAGGCTTACTATGGCCAGTAACGAAGACTTTGTACCCTTATTAGGGGCAATAAAGCTTGCCCCTCTTATCAAATTGCCTCCCTAAATATAACTCCTCAGTTTATCGACTCCTGACTCCCTTTTTATCACGGCTCAGACCACTGCTATTACGCCCCCTCGTCGACACTTGCTGTCAACTTAACCCATCCTGAATCACCTACCCAGGTAACTGAACCTCCAAAAGATACCCCTTAACCCATCCTGAAGCACCTACCCAGGTAACTGAACCTCCAAAAGATACCCCTCCCTCAACCGCAATATCCTTGATCCCATCTGCACAATTATCTCCATTTCATACATCATCCTCCCTTATTACAACTCCACAACCTTATTGAGCTCCATGCCACAGCACTATATCACTCCACACCACTCCCTCTTCCTTCCGCCCTCGCCCTTTTACAGTTCCCACCTCTACAACCCTCTTGAGTACTTTGGCCAAGCCAAGTGGGATCGATTTTTTGGGATTCCCGTAACAGCCCCGTACTCTGACAATACTCTACTTTACCAACAATGCCTCCAAAAACAAGTAAGCAGTCTCCTTTCGCAGCCGTGCTGATCGTTCACGCCTTGTCAGTTATATCTGAATCTTGAGCCCATGCACTACCCGGATTCACACCGCGAGCGAAGCAACGCTACACACGCGATGCAAAGCTACGTGGCTTTTAGTCGCCTCGTTTAATTTCAATAAAGAGGTACACCTTGTTGCATTCATGTATCGTATCGTTGTTTATCCATGTACCGGGATGCCACGCTCCCCGTCCACACGAGGGTTGGCGAGTTGTATATCATTCTGTGGTGCAGTGGATAATGGTTAATGGTTAAAGGCGAAATCAATGTGCTAGACCTCAAGGGTGATAGTTACTATGCGCCATCTATATAGAGTAATCTTAAAATGTTAAAGGTGGGTAAAGGAGTTGCTGTGTAAATGGGCTATTCTATGTCTAGGTAAGGGAATTACATAAGTGTTTTCCGTATCAGGTGTGGAATATAGAGGATGGAGGAGGGGTGTTGTAGAGGTGGAGGATGGGTAGTTAAGAATAGGGGAAGTGTTGTGTTATGAAGGAATAAGGAGGAGTAGTGTAGAGGAGTTTATGGGTCTAGGCGGAATTTTTTGTGTTGCAAGAGTTTATTCTATCTCTGAATAGAGCGGAATATCTTCCATAGTTACAATGGGTGGAGGAAGTGTGTACATTCTTAGAGGGAGATTTTAATAGTGTGCTAGGAATTGGTTTGGAAGTTTTGCCTTTTTTTTGGCAAGTTGGGTTTCGATGTTTAGGAGTGAGGACTGGATACCCATATATTATCACATCTTTGAGTAGCAGTCTTCACTCTTGACTCATTATCTTCTAAGATGACTTAGAAGAATAGGAAGTGCAGAACCATAAGATCAGTTAAATTGATAAGCTATAGCTTTCAGTTTCAAATATGACTTGTCGAGACGGGAACGATCGGTTCGGTATGAAGGATTGTCAGAGACATTGTTTGAAAGAGAAAGTGTTGCCTGAGTAAGGAGAAGGGGGGGGGAACGAAAATCGGTCCCATTGGCTGGGCTAAATAGAGTATTTAAGTATTTAGAGTTTGTGGGTGGTAGAAGGACGGGACGTGATTATTATTGAGGGTCGTACTATTATGGAGAGATTTCGAATAAGGCTGTAAGGCAGAGAGAGAGAGGGAGAGGGAGTGAGTGAGTGTGAGAGTGAGTGAGTGTATGTGAGTTAGTGTGAGCTCTCTCTGAAGTTGAGGAAGTTGGGAGAGTAGGAGTCTCCACTTGGGTGGATAATGCACTAGCAGGCATTGAGGAGTGGGTAGTTAGTGTTCAAAGTTGTGGTCAAAGGAAGCCTTTGATTGAGGCTATTTGATGAAGGGCAAGCCTCATTGCCTCTAATATGGGTATTACATCTTCATTACTGGCCATGGAAGCCTGACTATGTTGGGGAAATAAACAGTCCACCTCAGGGTTCCCTCTGAGGGGTAAGGTTAAACAACAAAACGGGAATACTGTGCCATGCCCTCAGGCCGTCCAGGACTGGCACAAGGTCAGCCTTTCATCCTTTCAGCACGGCTCTTACACCTTAGGAAGTAGATATTAGAAGGGACGGAAACATAAGGCTGAAAGGGGTAAAGACCATGCAAAATTAATTGAGTCGAGGGCTGAGGCCCTAGGCAGGGGAGACCCCTGCATTGGGTCTGTCTCCGTCTCCTAACCCCCCCCCCCCCCCCACGCAACAACGGGAGGGATTGGGGGATGTGACGGCAACGATGATACTGCTACACAGCATATACTATACATGGAAATGCAACAAGTGTGTACATGCCTTTAAGTGTTCACACCGGTTGCGAAGGTACGCGCGCTATGCTAGCTACGTTGCGTGTATGGCTTGATCAGTCATCGGGCCGGCGATTTATAAAATCATGCATGTATGCCCCTACTCCTACCCCAAATGAGTTGACAGTTCGTCACAGCTGCGACAAAGTCACATTGTATGTCCTCTATAGTCTGGGAGATAATCTGAAATGTTTAATTATTTTTAACTTCTTCCAGCTCATTAGATGGTGATATTCACCAAATTTTATCCTTAACAAATTTAATTTGTGAGCCCATTTCCTTTCTCTTTTATTACCCTTAGTGCTAGAGTTAGC